TTTTGCTGAAGATCATTCAAAAGCAGTTGTAGCAGTACATCAACTGGGAACTGTCAGAAGTTCAAGCTGGATTCAGAAGAGGACATGGAATGAGGGATATCATTGCTAATGTCAAATGGATCCTGGCTGAAAGCAGAGAATACCAGAAATTTGTTAACCTGTGTTTTATTGACTATGCAAAGGCATTCGACTGTGTGGATCATAACAAATTCTGGATAATGTTGCAAAGACTGGGAATTCTAGAGCACTTAATTATGCTCATGAGGAACCTGTACATAGACCAAGAGGCAGCTGTCTGAACAACAAGGGGATACTGTCTGACTTAAAATCAGGAAAATTGTGCGTCAGGGTTGTATCCTTTCACCATACTTATTTAATCTGTATGCTGATCAAATAATCCAAGAAGCTGGACTATATGAAGAAGAATGTCGCATCAGGATTGGAGGAAGAGTCATTAACAACCTGCAATATGGAGATGACACAACCTTGTTTGCTGAAAGTGAAGAGGACTTGAAGCACTTCCTGCTGAAGATCAAAGACCACCGCCTTCTGTATGGCTTAAACCTCAGCATAAAGAAAACAAAAATCCTCACAACTGGACCGATAAACAACATCATGACAAACAAAGAAAATATTGAGGTTGTTAAGTATTTCATTTTTCTTGGATTCACAATTTATGCTCATGGAAGCAGCAGTCAAGAAATCAATCGACATATTGCACTGAATAAATCTGCTGCAAAAGACGTCTTTTATTAAAGTGGTAAACAAACAAAAGATGTGACTTTGAGGACTAAGGTGAGCCTGAGCCAAGCCATGGTATTTTTAATCACCTCATATGCAAAAGACCTCATTACAATGTTACAAAGCAAAGATGTCACTTTATGGACTAAGGTGTGCCTGACCCAAGCCACGGTGTTTTTAATCGCCTCATATACATGGGAAAGCTGGACAATGAGTGAGGGAGACAGAAGAATTCATGCCCTTGAGTTAGGGTGTTGGTGAACAGTACTGAATATACCATTGACTGCCAGAAGAAAGAACAAATCTGTCTTGGAAGAAGTACATCCAGAATGCTCCTTAGAAGTGAGGATGGTGAGACTTCATCTTATATATTTTGGACATGTTATCAGGAGAGATCAGTCCCTGGAGAAGGACATCATGCTTGATAAATTAGAGGGTTAGCGAAAAAGAGGAAGACCCTCAAGGAGATGGATTGACACGGTGGCTACAACAATGGGTTCAAGCATAACAACAATTATGAGGATGGCCAGGCCAGGGCAGTGCTTCCTTCTGTTGTACACAGGGTCACTCTGAGTCAGAACTGACTCAATGGCACCTAACAAAACCAACACCAACAAAGGTGCCCACTGGACAATTGTGGAACATCTCCAAGAGCTATACTTAAAAGAATTGAAAAGCACTTTCAAAGGGCTCTCCAAATGTGTTATTTGGAGAGCACATCAAAGTCATACACCTAATAAAGCCTGAGGGTCATTCTGAAATCACTGATCCAGTGTAGCCTGGATTATTTTCTATGTAACATCCTGAGGTGACTTCAGGGAATATCTCTGGGATCTGGTCACTAGGGAAGTTCAAGGAGAATATCCTACAAATGTCTGTTAATATCACTATGGACTTTTTGGGATATACTTGCCTGGGTCCCTTCCACCTCTTCTATATCCTTGGATTCAACTGAAGAAACTCTTGGTATCTACAGAGTTTGCACCATTGTAATGAAACACTCCTTTTATTTTTTTACTTTGTGTGTGTGTGTGAAGGAGCCCTGGTGCCACGGTGCTTACGTGCTCCGCTGCTAACCAAAAGGTTGCCGTTGGAACCCACCAGCTTTTCCACAGGAGAAAGATGTGGCAGTCTGCTTATGTAAAGATTACAGCCTTGGAAACCCTACGGGCAGTTCTATTCTGCCCTATAGGGTCACTGTGAGTCAGAATCAACTTGAAGGCAATGGGTGTTGTTTTGCTGTTGCGTGTGTGTGTGTGTGGGGGGGGAGTGGGAAGTGGGGATGGGCATGAGAATGAAGACTTTTTAAGCATTTGTTGGATTATTTATGTATTTTTTCCCTTATTTATATAGGTTGAAGCAGGTTTGATGAGCCTTCAGTATTTGCTCAGATGGATGGAGTTGCCCCTGCTCTCATTCATTTCTTAGTTGGCGGATGCCTGGGCTTTTATGCATGAGCTGTCAGTGGGTACCAGGGCCCTGCCAGTCTTTATCTGATGTCTGTGTTTCCACCATCTCTTCCACTTGGGTGCCAGCAGCAGAGAGTGATTCATCCTTTCTGTGTCCCCCATTATTCTATGTTTTTATCACAGCTTAGGTAGTCAAAATTACAAAGATGATGTTTTTTCTTGATCCATTGACGAATTTGTGGGTTAACTGAAGAAAATAGAGAAGTTTCCCTTTTTCAGGGAGGGGGTCAGCTTTGGAGGTTATTGAAACTGGGAAATAATGTTTTTATGTGGTTATCCAGCATACTAAGGCAATTTAATTTTCTCTTACCCTAGTTACTTATTTTTCAGAAACCATCAATGGAGAGGATGCGTCCAGCACTGTGGCATTGTCTCTGATCCGTGCCACTTTGCTGTCTAAATCATTCTTCACTGTTTACATAGAACACTCAGTTTTTATGTTGTCCTTAAAATAATATATTTTATCACACCTGGTAGAAATTTACTGGTCATAAATTGAATTAATTTCAAGATTGTATACAAATTTAGACACCTTTTAACTCAAGAACTTATGATTAAGGCTTATGATTATCTTAAGGCAATACACAGATTCATGCAATGTCATTTTGACAGGTGAAGGCTGGAAAGGAAAGCATATCTACAAACACATTTCTTCAATGTGATAAGTTCCTGGGGCATCCAGGGACTATTATTTTTAAAATGCGCTTCCCCCTTGGCCACGCTGCTACCAAAAATAAGCTAGTCTTGAGGAAGCTAAGTGATAGAGGACATTCCTGGAACTATTTCATCAGAGACCATTTGTGACAAAGCATTCTTGAATTCCTTTCTTCCTACCTTCTTCATTCACTGTTTTCTAACCAAAACGACTCCAGTCCAAAGACCTGGGACATCTATTTGATAAACACACACACACACATACACACACACACACACACAGCAAACTTTTGGCTGCCCAAGTGTATCATGGAAAAATTAACTGAAGTCGGTAGTTTATCTCAACGACTTCAGAACATCTAATTATTGATGGGAGTCATTGTCACCAGACACACCGTGTACTACAGTACTATGACAGGAGGAAGGAGAGAGGATGAGAAAAAAAAATCATTCAGTGTTTGAGCTGGAAAATCAGGAGTCAGGAAGCTCAAAAGATCTTTGTTAATAGTCCAGTGACCTTCAACACGTTACTTAGCCTCTATGGTCTTGAGTCTTCCTTCAGCTATGAAATGCAACCAAAAAAGACTCCTGTGAAAGCAAGTCAGTTGTGTCAAAGACATTCAAGCGTTACGTCGGTGAAAATCACCATTGATTTGGAAAGACATATTAGAGTACATAAATCCAAGGCTTTATGATTTCACACTTCACGAATTTGGAAACTACTGCATGTACACGGTGTTCCATGCAGTTCCTACAGGTGAGGGAGTTTAGGAAAGGGCCCGGGGTACTGTGGCTCTGCCCGGAAGATGAGTGCCAGAAAGGTTTTGCGGGGTTGTTACAGAGAAATTGGCTTCGGGGTGCGTGAAATAGAGATTAAAGGTTGCAGCCACTTTTCCGAGAAAAGAGGAGGTGTCATTTGAGTCCTTTACACAGCAAGGATGAAAGTGGCCACATGCCACAGAACCTGGCACCAGTGATCCCTGGAGGGAACCACTCCAGGAAATGACCCTCCGACCTCCGGGATGCCAAGATATTTACAAATAAACCCAGCAACTCACTGCAGGAGGGTGGGGGCGAGGAGGATGCGGGGAGGACTCAGGGGCGAGCCGGACAAGGGGAGGACACAGGTTCCAGAAACTCGTTTTAGGGCTCTAGTGGATCAGTGAGTGCCCTTGAGGATGAGGGCACGGATGGCTGGGAGCGATCGCCGGGCAACGGCAGTTACCCGCGCCCTGCCTCGCTTCCCTGCTCTGCGCTTGGGCGCGCCCCGGGCACCAGCACCCGCGCCCCCAACTCCCACGCGGGTTTCGGATTCGACCTTCCCGCCCCCACCGGCCCAGCGCGGCCACTTCCCACTCGCCCACTGGGTAACGGCTTCCGGACTCGCAGTCCGAGACCCCCACCCCTACCCGGTTCACGAGAGCCGCAGTGCCGCGCCCTTTGGAGAGAGGTAACCCGCCCCGGAACCGACGTGAGCGGCCCAGGGCGGGGTCGCTGGAGGCGGCTGGGGGAATCCCCCCGGCCAGGCCCGGCCAGGCCCGGCCTCTCCGCCCAGCTCCCTCACTCCGCACCGCCCCTTCCCCCCGACG